GGTCTGCCTGAATATTGGCGAACGCGGCTAATAGCTCAGAAGGATGAAAGGAAAAATAGATTTGGGAGTCATCAGCGTATAAATGATGTGAACAGTGGTAGATGGATTTGGAAAGATCATTTATGTAGGAATTAAAAAGGAGAGGGAAAATGCTCAAACCCTGGGCCACTCCAGAGGACAGTGTAAGGAAGATAGGGGTTGGTTTGGAATGCTGACTGCTTGTGTTCTATTGGATAGGAAAGACTGCAACCAGAGGATAGAGCTGTTGGAGAAGGATAGAGATTTTAATTCAGTGTAGAGTTTAGAGTGGTCTAAGGAGTCAAAGGCTTTGGAAAAGTCGAGAAGTATTAACACAGTTAACATTTTTTCGTCCATTTCGGTATGTAAGTCATTGGTAATTTTTAGTAGGGCGGATTGTGTGGAGAAGCCAGGTCGAAAACCAGATTGGAGAGGATAAAGTAGTTTTGAGTTTTCAAGGAATTTAGAGATTTGGGATTGAGCTATTCTTTCCAGAGGTTTAAAAAGATTAGAAAGAATGGAGATTGGGCGGTAGTCTTTAGGAGAAGTAGGATTGGGGATTTTGTTAATAGGTCTGACTAATGCTTTTTTCCAAGCAGTAGGAAAAACTGAGTTCTGGAGGGAAAAATTATAGATGAAAAAGAGAACTGGGACGACTTCGGGAAGGCATAATTTCAGTTTGAATAACAGAATAACAGTTTGACTGGTATTCCATCAAGTCCAATGGAGTTTGTGTGGGATTTCATTATAGAGGAAATAAGGTCGGTTGGTGAAATGTTGGAGAAATAGAAATTATCGCTGTTAAATGAGGGAGACAAGGAAAACTGGTAAGAGGTGGGTGAGCTGTTGCTGATGGTGGAAAATATACAACGTTAAAGAAGATTAAATTTATTATAAATTTTATGCATAGCTTTTTGATGTAGGGCTAACGGGTGAGCAGTAAGAGAATATTGACTGTTTGCATTTTTCACAAGAAAAATCTTTTTTTGTCCCCCAAAACTCATAATCTATGCATCTATCGAAGAAATTCAATATAATCAATTTGAAAGAGCATTAGGTTTCATATGTATCTCATACATACACGTTAATATGTAAGAAGATTAAACGGCTGTTAAAGCTCAGAGAATCGAAGCCGTATTTCCCTTGTAGTATCTGTCGTTCACAAACTAAGGGCTTTTTATCTTTTCAATGCTTTATTTTCGGCTAATTTAACTATTTTATAACAGAACTAGGATGTATAAACATATTACATAGTGTTTATACATTCTGTTGATATGCATAACAATCATCACAAAATTAAGGATCAAAATGCGTTTTAAAGTCCGAGCGGTCCAATGACATTTTGCTCATTCGCATATTACGACTCTACCTAAGCATGAATTACGCTGCCAACGTTCTCCTTTAGTTAACCAACGAATAGATGTGTACTTACAGATAGTAAATAGTATTGTTATATTTTTCATTTTTAAAAAGCACTGTTTTAACTCCATTTTGCTTACATTTTATTCATTACCCTTGTTTAATTCCAATATAACAGCCAGGGCCGTTATTGACAGTGACAAGTTGATAGATATCTATATAAATAGAATAAAGATTTTGTCTGTACATTGGATAGAAGCAACCCGTTTTATGATATCTTTCCGTTTCATACATTGCAGACACCAAATCCACTTTTTAAAAAAATTTTGTTTGTCTGTATGTCCGCATTGCAACAAAATTTTGTCAGGGGTAAGCTCAGCAATGGCTTATTGTAGACTTTTGACATTTTAAAATTATATTAAGGTTTGCTTGACTTAAAACATAGGCTTTAAATGAAAACAAAATATTGATCATAACCAAAGTTATGAATTCTTGAGTAATTTGTCTAGAGATCTCGGTTAATGTTGATAATAAATGTTAATAATAAACATATGTTTATAGGTTAAAGAACATCTATATAAATAAAATAAAAGGTTTCGTCTGTACATTGAATAGAATCAACCCGTTTCATGATATCTTTCCGTTTTATACATTACGGACACCAAATCGTCTTTTAAAAAAAAATTTTGTCTGGATGTCCGCATTGTACAAAGAAATTTTGTCAGGAGTAAGCTCAGCAATGGCTAATGGTAGACTTTTTAAATTTTGACATTACATTTAGGTTTGCTTAATCACGGAATACGCCGAGGAAATTATCGGAGACTACCAATACGGATTTAGACGGAATCGTTCGACTATTGATCAAATATTTTCATTACGGCAAATATTGGAGAAAAAATTGGAGTATAACCGTATTGTTCACCAGCTGTATATAGATTTTAAAAAGGCTTACGATTCTATTGACCGTCAGAAACTGTATAATATTCTAATCGAGCAGGGGATTCCAAAAAAACTAGTAAATCTAGTCAGGATGTGCTTGACGGAGACACTCAATAAAGTTAGAATCGGTAATAATTTGTCCAAAAATTTGAGGTTCGTTCGGGCTTAAAACAGGGGGATTCTCTTTCGCCTGTCCTGTTCAATTTGGCATTAGAACATGCCATTAGGGAGGTAATGCGAACCGAGAAAGGGTTGGATCTGGGCGGGACAACATCCGTGCTGGGCTATGCTGATGATCTAGGTACTGTTAAGCGAAGACGTTGAAACTATAAAACTAAATACGACAACGTTAATGAAAGCCGGTAAAGAACTAGGACTCGAAATAAACGTGGATAAAACAAAATATATGGTTAGCTGCAAAAATGGCGATACTACTGGTGATATCGATATAGATGGTAATATGTTTGAACAGGTAGATAAATTTAGGTATCTAGGTTCTACGATAACTAGAAAAAACGAAATTGAAGAAGAGATTAAGGTTAGACTGAAGGCGGGAAATGCTTGTTATTTTTCTGTGACAAAACTACTTAGTTCACGCCTCTTGTCCCGGAACTTAAAAATTAGAATCTATAAAACAATTATCTTGCCTACAGTTCTTTATGGATGCGAAACTTGGCCGCTTACATTAAGGGATGAGCAGCGTCTTAAGGTTTTTGAAAATAAAGTATTGCGTAGAATATTTGGACCGAAGAAGGATGAGTTAACCGGAGAGTTCAGACGGTTACACAACGCCGAATTGCGTGAGCTGTATCCGGGTAATATAATTGAGGTAATTTCATCGCGGCGAATCAAATGGGCTTGTAAAGTTGTTGGGCTTAGTAACGAGAGAATTCCTAAAAGGTTAACATTTGCTGTGCCGAATGGTAAGCGTCCGAGGGGTAGACCGAAGCGAAGGTGGGAAGATTGCATTAAAGCTGATCTGAAGGGACTGGGTTTGGACGGCGAACGGTGGAGGGAGGTGTGTAACAGGCGATTGGTGGTGTCGGCATCGAACCTTCGGGTTCGCTAAACCTTATTATTATTATTATTATTATTATTTAGGTTTGCTTGACTTAAAATGTAGGCCTTAAATGAAAACAAAATATTGAATAGAACCAAGGTTATGAATTGTTGAGTGATTTATTTAGAGATCCCGGTTTGGCAGTTACTTCAATTCTAATCCCAGCCTACTCTATCGTGAGCTACATTTGAAAGTTGTACTGCTCAACTGATAGAAAAAATTATCACAACTCAACGGGAAAAACGTTGTCGCATAAAACAGGTAAAAAACTCTCATTTTTCAAGGTGTCATTCAATTCAACTTTCCGAGCCAAACAAATGTTGTCATATACATTTAATACATTAGCATTAACCAAACGGATTAGCCGGAAATCAGGCGGAAAAAAATTAAAAAATTTCACACCGCCTGCCACAATATTCAGATCAAGTTCTAATTTTACACGGATGTAGGTGGCTCAATGTCCAATGTTATTTTGCCAGCGATAAACTCAGCAGGGTTTAAAGAAGTGGAGATACTAAAACTCTTTTTGATTAATTAATCGACTTCATAATCTCCTCGCTTCATCATAAATGAAAATTAAACACTTAACAAATTTTAATGAATAGGTGGTGGTTGGTTTAGTTGTGTGGTACCTAAACAAATAGCTGAATAACAATTATACATTATAACAACGAAATTTGCCAGGTCTCTTAAGGTCATTATATTAGTCCACTGTGTATTAATTCCAATTTAAAAAGAATATTTTCGAATTTAAAAAATTCCCTGACTTTAACAATTTTTCCATGACTTTTCCCGGTTTTGAAAATTCCCTGACTTTTCCAGGTCGGTTGCCACCCTGTTCAACTTCAATACTTGAACCCATTAAAATCTCAAATATTACAGTATATTCCTCAAGTTTCTTAAAAATTTCTTTAAATTTTAATAACAATGTTGTGGGATGTATAATACTGGAAATTTAAACTCAATTAAAAAATAAAGTTTCATTGTGATGTGGACGATTCATAATTCAGTATGTGCATATAGTATTTTTCATGTAAGTTAATGTTCTGCAGTATCTCATTCCTTGCATGTCAGTCAATTTATCAATTAGCCAATTTAAGGATTAGTTTCAGGATTGAAATTGAACGCTGTGAAATGTGGGAAAATGGTGATTCCAGGAGAGGGTTTGGTCAATGAAAATGCCTATGCTTTTAACTGAAGAGATGAAGGTGATAGGGTGGTCATTTAGGTACAGTAGAGGAATGTTGGTATTGGATCTGAGTAGGGGTTTGGAACCAATGAGAATGGCTTGGGTTCTAGCAGCATTTAACCTTAATCCAATTACGTTTGCCCAGACACAGATCCGATTTAGGTCTTCTTGTATTTTGGCAAACGCATCATACCACTCAGAGGGAGCAAAGGAAAGGTAAATGCGGTAATCATCGGTGGTAAATAAGGTAAATGTAGGAATCATTCAAAAATATGTGAAAAGAGATACACCTATTAATCTATGCAATTATTTTATTCTTAAGAGGCATTTCATCATAGGATAAAAGTTATTTTTCATTCATTTATTATTCATGATATTTAATCTTTAAATATAAAACACAAATATATTTTTGATTCAATTGTAATGTTTACTCACGCAATGTGTCCATTAACACGCCTCACTTGAAGCTGTTGATAGAACGTCTGCACAGAAGAATTGGAGTTTCGAGATAAATAGCCACGCCAATTTTTTTGGATACATGTTGCTGCTTGGTCTTGAAAAAAAAATTATATAGATATATATATATATATTTATATTTTTACAAAAAGGTACAAAAAACTAAATTGATCATGTAGTAATAGACAAGAGACACCAGAGCTCCATACAAGATATAAGAAGCTATCATGGAGCAGATTGTGCTGGATCAAACCCAGATTAGAATTAAACTATCAGAGATTAAAGCAAATGCACAAAACATGGGATAAAGTGAAAAGGAGGTATAAAGTAAATACAAGTACAAAGTAACTTGAAAAAACCTGAAGGAAAAACAAAATTCAATATGAGCTGAAGAATAAATTTGGATCCTTGGACTCCAAGAGACCAACACTGGAAGGTAACAGAGTAAGGGCAGGGCTAAATGAAACAGCTAAGAAAGTATTAGGTATTCAAATGAAACTAAAAACGAAAATGAAAGACCTCTGCCAGGTAAAACTGATAAAGCTACTCAGGACAATTATACAGCTGTAAACAAAAAAAAGGCAAACAAAATCATAAGGTCGACAAAAAAAAAGAATTCTTTAAAGAAAGAATAAAATCCATTGAGGAAGGAGAAATACCTGAATTCTACATCAATAGAAAAGATAGAGTACTATATAAAGCAAGAGATACACAAATGTCAGGAAAATATGGCATTTTGATGGTATCAAAAGAAAATATACTAAGCATCAGGAAAGAAAGTTTCCAGCAGCTTCTAAATCAATGAAAACCCACAAGCTTCAAATCAATGAAAACCCACAAACTAAGAAAACATGGAGCACACTGAGGAACTCGACTCAGAAGAGATTAAAAAAACAGATATACTGAACAATATCTGTGTTAACAGCTATTGAAAGGCTTACAACCAAAAAGGGCCCAGGGATGGACAAACTACCATCACAGCTGTTTAAAGATTGGAAAGAGAACATAAGAGCGAAGCTAGTACAACTAATCCAGAAACTATGTGAGGAGAGAGCTTGGAACACTGTCCTAATCTGTCCTATCCGAAAGAAAATCTCCATGTATGAGTGTAGTAATTACTGAGATATAGCACTCCTTCCTGCTGCCTACAAGATGATGACCAATATCTTACTAAATCAGATATAACTTCTTCTTTGCTTTTATCATCCTCCTTTATGCCTCTCAGCGTAGAAGTGCCCCGATCCAGGACTGCCAAGGCTCCCGATTCCCGAGCCAGCGCCTTCTTAGAATTCATAGACTTCTCCTTCTTTTCACCAATCCTGGAGATGTCCATCCATGGCAATCTAGGTCTTCCTCGAGGATAGAGTCCGATAGACCTGGCCTCAAAAAAATTTTTTGGATCACAGTCCTCATCCATTCTGCATAGATGACCATACCATCCCAACTGCCTCTTTTCGACTGTTTCCCTCAAAACTGGCACTCCCATTTCTTCTCGTATCCTTTCATTCCTAATTCTGTCTCTCCTTGTTTTGCCTGCTATTATCAGGAGGTACTTCATTTCTGCAGCGGTAGCTCTACTCCAGTGCTTGCCCTCGGGACCTAGCTCTCACTTCCATAAATAAGGATAGGTAAGTATATGGACTTAAAGATATGTAATTTTACACTTTTTTCCAATTCCCTTTTCCCCACTACAGTGGTGCATAGCTGGTAGTATATGCTGTTAGCTTTCTTGATCCTGTTTGAGAGCTCTTGGTTCATTTTCCTGTTTCTAAGCACTACCACGAGATAAGTGTACTCCAGCACTATCACCAAGTTTCTCCTCCGTAGCGAACCAAAACTTCCTCCTCTTCACAATCAATGTGCATCATTCATCTTCCTCTCGCCTTACCTTTCATTGATTTAATTCTTTTCCAAAAAGTCTTGGTATTTTCCTTGTAATCATTCTGCAGACTTCTACCTAATTTCTCCCAACTCTTTCTCTTCACCACACGGACAACCATTTTTTTTTTTTCTTTCTTCTGACATAAAGCTGCCAGTTGGCTGCAGCCTTGAGTTGACAATACTCCTTACATGCTGATTTCTCCATAACTACTGCAGCTTTCACCAGATCACTCCACCACTCAGACCTTTTACCTTTAGTGTAAACTACTTTCGTTCCATATAAACTTTCAGCAGTCTCAAGTATTGCATTCTTCAATGCAGCCCATGTATTGTAGACATATCCTTCAGTATTAATATACCGGAGAAGTTCTGCATACTCACTTTTCTTATCTGGATTCTGCAGCTTTTCAATATTAATCTTCTTGTATGTTTTGGACCTTTTCTTTTTAGGTCGAAGGATCTGGATGTCTCTAATCAACAGGAGATGGTTTGAACCAATTTCAGCACTTCTTATTACTTTTGCATTGTTAAAGTATCTCCTTATACTTCTACTGTACACAATGTAATCTATAATGCTATTAACCTTTCATTCTTCAGCTGAAAAGGTTATTTTGTGGACTATTTTATTTGGGAAGAAAGAGTTTCGTAATCTTTACAGAAGTCGATGAGCCTTTGACCACTTCCATTTTTGATGTGTTCTCGTCCATGTAGGCCCATAACATTATGTGCATTTGAATGGTCTCTTTTGGTCCTTGCGTTGAAATCACCCATTAAGATAATCCCTCTGTTACAGTTCTGACCTCTGATGACCAGATGATAAAGCTGTCCTCAGAAGAAACTGAGAGGAAATTGAGAGATTCGCTAAAAACTCTGATAAGAGAAGCAGAGCGAGCAAATCGGCCTACATGTAAATGAAGATAAAACAAAAAATTTGATAAGCTGAAAATTCCACCCCAACAACAGAATGTGCATAGAAGGAAAAATCGTTCCTGAGATAGAGAAATACCTCAACTCCATAATAACTTTAATTAATAATCCATAGTCCAAAATATACCATAGTATAAGAAACACTAACAGAGCTGCTTTCTCTCTTACAAAAGTATTTAAACTCTGAAAATTCTCTAGAAATCTCAAATTAAGGGGACACTATGTTATGATAAAGCTAGTTCTGATATACGGCTACAAGACCTGGACTATAATGAAGTATTCCTAGTAAGAAACATTGAGAGATTTGAGAGGTACAGTAACCAGAGTGATCTGGGAACTGAGTACTAACACATGGAGAAGAAGGACTGATGAAGCTAACAGAATCAAGGTCAATCAATATCTCTTTATATTAAGGCAAGGAGGTTAAAATGGGGGAGGAAATGCAGTTTAAAGCGATCTATTATGAAACCTCTACACAATAATAGATGCCTCAGAAATTGGCAAGAGTCCATTTGAAAAGGTCAAAAATTAGATGAATAGATCAACTCAACAAATAGATTGCAGAGCTACTAGCAGAAAACTGTAAAATAATAGCCCAAGATAGGATGAAATAGAAAATACAGGTTCGGGCTTTTTCTTCTAAAGTAGGATGACAGTAATAAGTGACACTCTTAATTTTTGTAGCATTTATAAACCCTTAAAGAGAATTGAGTAATAAAATTAATCCTTATAATTCACCAAACAAATAAAAAGAAAATACCTCGGTCAGAATTGGATTTTTTGCTTCTAATTTCATCAACTTTAGTTTTAATAGTATGTAACTTCATACTGGACAAGTCTTCACATATATAATAGTCTGATGATGTAGCGTTAGCCTTAGAATTACTGCTGCTTGCAATATCAGGAATATTGGAAACCATTGGACTGATTAGTGATTCTGGCACGGGTACCAGTTTTGAAGCAGCTGGTAAAGGAGCAGTAATTTCTTCCAGTTTTGTTTCTTCTTCTACATGAGAAGATGTAGATGGACAATGCAGACTTTGGGATAGTATTCTCACTAAAATAAAAATTTCCCTTCTTTTACCATTCAATATAATTACTAATAAATAAGTACATACTTATATAATTGTGAATAAGCAATAAACAGGGTACTGAACTCATAAAAAGTTTTTATCAGTTTATTCTCTTTTCTATAGTAATAAAGAACATTTTATCACTTAAACAATTATTTGTAGTTCATTAGAATTAATATTAATAAAAATACATTATCAATTAATAAAAAATACATTATTGAAGGAAGTTAGTCGACTGTTCTACATATCACAGGTGATAGATAGTTAGGATGCAAGGTTTTTATTTGTGCCGACGTTTCAACCCAAGCATGTGGGTCATCAGGGCTAAAATTGTTTAATACAGTCAGAGATATAATATTATAAGACAGATAATGGTTAATAATGAAAAAATAGTGATGTCTTATACATGAATAGACAAATGAAATATGTAATAAGTTATACAAACTAAAAAGATATAATGCATATAATCATTGTATAAGAAATGTAATATTTACTCTTACTAACCGTGTTTCGAGCACTGAACTTATTCAAGTACTGGTCCTTAGGTAGGTAAGTAAAAGGGTCGCTAGGAGAAGATTTTTCTGAAGTCCTTTAAACCCCTCCCTCCCTTCCTGCTCTGACTTTGTTTACTTACCTTTGCTATCTTACATTTCATTAAGCACATTTCATTTGTCCATTCATGTATCATCCATCACTATTTTTTCATTATTAACCATTATCTGTCTTATAATATTATATTTCTGATTGTATTAAATAATTTTAGCCCTGATGATGACCCACATAAACATTGGCACAAATAAGAACCTTAAAAATTACTGCCTTTTGACTATTTATCAGCTATAAAAAATATATTCTTAATGTGGTTACATAAGATATTACTTGAAGATTCAAAACTAAATCCTAAATCTCTCTTTAACATGCATTAATTAACCAGCCAATGTTCCACCAAATTAATTTAAATTTCAAAATATGATGCTTACTAGAAATATACTATCACTATTTTTATTTTAAAAGGCTTGAGTACTTTTCCAGGCAAATCAACAAATTATAAAGTTTTTCAGCTACTAACAGAGATATTGTTTATACTTCAGGCAGAACGACATGGAGAGGAAAATTATTGTTTGACAGGATCTGTTTTATGCGTTAGATATTGATTACATGAAATTGGAGATCAGAGAGGGAGAGACTATGGTGGATGAGATTTTTAGCAACATTAATTTTTTGGTGGTAAGGATGTTTGGAATGGAAATTCAGAAGTCTGTCTGTGTAAGTTGGTTTAGTGTACCAGTCTGTGGATATGGTGTTATTGGGATTCTTAATGATTAGAAGGTCGAGAAAAGGGAGAGAATTATTGAGTTCGCGTTGTACTGTAAAGTTGAGGAGCCGGGTGTAGTAAGAGTTAAAGGTTGATAGGATATTGGAAATTTTATTTGGATTGATGATTAGGAGGAGGTCGTCTACGTATTTTCGAATAAAGATGATATCGCCTGGGTAAAGAGGGATAATGGAGTCTAGAAGGTCGTTTAGAACGATGTTGGAGATGTCGGGAGCGAAGGCGTTACCCATTGCTAGCCTGGAGATTTGGTTCAAAAATTGTCCTTGGAAAGTGAGGTAGCCTAATTTACAACAACGATGAAGCCAAGAGCACAAGCCTTTGCATCTCACGGTGGCCCAAAAACTACATCACTCTTTTCTTTGAATAGCTGCTTTTTGGAACTTTTCCAGAATTTTTTGTCCACCATCCAGGGGGAGGGTCGCCCCCTTGCAGAATAAGCTAGTGCTCATCACGATAATATTATTTTTATATATTACATTAGAAAATTCTTCTATGAGGATCTATTTTTCTATCTTTCTCTTTTCATTAAATATATGCTTAAAATATTAGTTTTCGAAAGGAAGGTCCTTCGGAGCATATTTGGTCCAGAATGGTGATTGAGGAATTAGACGTAACCAAGAACTAGCTAATTTATACAAGGAGCCGAATGTGGTGAAATATATCCAGATAGCAAGGCTGAGATCAAAGGGCCAAGTTGTACAGATGGACGAGACCTCAATCCCAAAGAAGATGCTGAGCATGGAGCCGGTTGGGAAAAGTGGACAGACCGAAACTGAGATGGAAAATTGAGTAAGTGCTGATACCAGAATCCATAGAATCAGGAAGTGGTGGAGCCTGCTCAGAACAGGAAAACATGGAGGAAAACTCTTAAGGCAGCCAAGATCCAGTAATGGATTTTCGAGCTGAGGATGATGATATTGATCACATTAGAAAATTCGTCTTAGAGTATGATTTTTCCTATATTTCTCTTTTCTTTAAATAGCTATTTTTTTGATGTTTTTTTTTCGGGATTATTTTCTACCGTCCAGAGGGAGCGCGCCCCGTCAGAAATTACAAGTGCTGGTCACGTTAATAACTTTTTTTTTATTACATTAGGCATTCGTCTATGAAGATGAATTTTTTCCTATATTTCTCTTTTCTTTAAATAGCTGCATTGTGGAACTTTTCCCCAACCATATGGGGAAGAGAGGTCCGCGCCTCCGGCTGGATCGGCTAGTACTAGTCACGATAATAATTTTTTTATATCATAGAAAATTCGTCTTTGAGAATGAATTTTTCCTAGATTTCCCTTTTCTTTAAATAATTGCTTTTGTTTTTTTCCACCATCCAAGGTGTTAAGGTGCTTTTGCCCCCTGGCGAATTCGCTAGTGCTGGTCACGATTATAATATTTGTTTTTTATTACAGTAGGAAATTCGTGAATGATAATGAATTTTCCCTATATTTCTCTTTTCTTTAACTGGGTGTTTTTGTTCAATTTTTTCAACCATCTAAGGGAGAACGCACCCAGAATTCGCTAGTGTTGGTCACGATAGATTTTTTTTTTTGTATTACATTAGGAAATTCGTGAATGAGAACAAATTTTTCCTGCATTTCTTTCCTTTAAATAGATGTTTTTGTCACTTTTTCGGAATTTTTTCCCCCATCCATGGGAGAGCGCGCCCCCTGGCAGAATTCGCTAGTGCTGCTCTCCATAATTTTTTTTTATGTTACCTAAGGATATTCATCGTCTACGAGGATGAATTTTCCCAATATTTCCCTTTTCTTTAAACAGCTGCTTTTTGGAATATTTTATGAATTTTTTTTCAAGCTTCCTAGGGAGAGGCAAGCGCCCCCTGGCTGGATCCACTAGTGCTTCTTAGTACTAATTATCTTTCTAATAACTAGTTCAAGTACTTAATTAAAAGACAAAAAAAAATGCTCTATTTTAAATCTGAATGGACTTCAAACTTTTTGGAATAAAATTAATGATTAAACAAAAGTTTCAGACATACGTATCTTAACTACAGTCGCGGTCATTGAAATTGCATCACATTTTTCTTTTGATTCTTATGCTAATAGCGTTGATTACATTGAATGTTTTTGTTTTTCTTTACTTATTAAGGCTACAAGAAAACTTTAACAATGTTTCTCAGCTCAGCTTTAACTAATGCCAGGACAAAAGCTATAATTATGACCTGTATCAAAAACTGTCCTCGTCTAAAAAAATTAAAATTGTGACGTTACATAAAGTAAAGGAATTTAATGGGAAATAGTAACGAGGATAGGGTACCACTTATCAACAGTAGACATAGTTTTGAAAAAAAAAAGCATCATGGAGCGAAAGAAAGAAAGTGGGTGGAGAAAAAAACAAACGAACAATTTGACCGCTTAATTGTGCGATTGTTTTTAGAATATCATTTCATAACTGGCAAAGAAATATCCGGAGATCTTGTATATCAATCTGGTAAATAAAATTTTTACTGGATGAGGCAATTTCTATGATCACGACTGTAGTTCAATCAATTAAAGTATTATACAGCTTTAGGTGGTCAAAAAAATCATAAACCAATATATTGCAATCAATATATGCCATATGAACTACATAATTGTATTATAATTTTATTTCTAATATCACTACAGTAACTTTAAATAAATAATTTTAAACAAATTTAAAATAAAAGAATTATAAAAAAACTTAAAACAAATATTTAAAAAAAATGGAAAATAAATAATTTATTTAAAATAAGTAATATGGTAATGCTAGAACAAAAAAAAAAAAGTATATAGAAACATACTAGGAGGTGAAGATTTCTCCTTATAACCCTGTAATGATGAAGGATCAAGACTCCTGGACATTAATTGTGAAGACGAACTTTTACCTATTAAAAATAACAACAATATAATAAACCTGATATTCCTTCTAATAAGAAAAAAACAAATGTATATACTTTAAATCAATCAATACATCTTAAAACTTTTTTTTACGCATAATGACAATTTAATTTATAAGATATCTTATCTTAATGTTAAACAAATTATAGTTATTATATGATATAGATTATGTATGAATATGAACAGAAACTTGTAATATTCATTCATATTATGGAGCAAGAAGTTAAGAAATTTACTTAAATAAATCACTTAGCTAATAAGATTAGTAACTCATTTGTTTTAATTTCTAAAAAAGGAAATTTAAATGGCAGTTTCAGAATACCTCCTGTTAATGATTCTGTCATTAATTGTGACTGATGTTGCTGAGCTTTACTCAATATTAGCCTTAACTTCCTTTCTTGCTCAGATTGTAAAGGCTCATTATTAAAAGGTAGATTTTCGGCCAAATATTGCACTAGCTGTGCATGCTCTCCTGGCCGAAACTGCCTACCTTTCCCTTGAGAATATAACCACTCTCCTCTTAAGCTACAAAGAAACAAAAACTATACAGACTGGTATTAACTTAGATATTTACATTTAAAACAATGACAATTATTTTCCTGGTTTATTAAAATTATGTGAGATATTTTAAGATAATTAGAAGAAATAAAAGTTTCTGTAATAGAAACACATTCTGTAACAATTATAGAATATTTACTTTTAATGAAACTAGCCATAAATTAAAATTAGGGAGCAACTGTTTGGGATGCATAAAACCCAGTTCATAAGACATACACCAATGAATAATTTTTAAAATTAATTTCAACCACACAAGGCATGGAAATGGATTTCTTGGTGGTCCTAAGAATCTTATTAAGCAGCTAATTAATTTGATAAAGTAATGAGTTATGTCATGATAGCCCTTCGAACATATAATCAGTTTTTGTTTTAACTATTCTCGTGTCTCAAAGATGACAAAAATAAATTTCTGGCTAGTATAAAACCCTTACTAATCATGGCCAGAAGAAAACTTGATAGCTGACATCAATAGCGGAGATACCTAATTAATAAAATAAGACGAAATTGGGTTAATAATAATATATTATGTAGTTATATTGTAAGATTATATTTATTTTTTAATTTTTTTTAGATATATTATTTTATTTTTGTGTATGAAAAAAAAAATAATGATATGCCTATTTTAAAAATTCTGTCTTTCAATTATTAACTAGATAAAATAGTAGTAGCAGAAAAATTATAGGGTGCGACCACCGTTTTTTGATAAAAATGAAAATTTTATAGATAAAAAATGGTCAGCCACTGGTCATTCAAAGTATTGTCCATTACTAGCCACTACTTTCTCTCATCTTTCAGATAACATACAGAATCCATGTTGAAAAAAAAAAGAAATTTCTTTTGAGGCAATCAAATCATCTACCCATTTTTTTGGAATGGAAGCGCTCTTCAGCCAGGCCATAAGTCAACTATCAGAACAAATGGTAGACGAAAGGAGTAACGTCTGGAGAATATAGCGGGAGGGAGGGGGGGCAGAACTTCCTATTTTAGCGTTTCTAAATAAGTTTTAACCGGGTTTGCAACATGAAGTTGAGCATTATCATGCAGTAAAATTACTTTGTCGTGTCTCCGCTTATGTTGAGGCTGCTTTTGCTCCAAGGCTTGGCTTAAAAGCATCAATTGTAATCTACAGCGATCACCTGTAATGGTTTCATTGGGCTGAAACAGACAGTAATAAAAGACACCAAGCTGATCTCATCAAAGTTTTTCTGTCAATTTAGAGGCACATGCGGTCAGCCCCCACGATTTTTTTCGCTTTGAGTTGTCCTAGCAAATTCACTTTTCATCACCTGTTACAATACAATTCAGAAAACCTTTTTCTTTTTGTCATAAAATCACTTGTTTGCAGGTGAATAAGCATTGTTCGACATCCCTTTCCTTCTTTATACACTACCTTATTTCCTTTAGAACCATTCCTAAAGCTTTCAAATTTTTTTCAACTTGTTTAATCAACTCCCAATGATTTTCCAAGTTCTTCTTGTGTCTTCATCAAACTTTTTGAAGTGCATAGACCGTTGTTATCTCCTGAGATCAAAATCATTGTTTATAAAATGTTGAAACCATTTTCTGCATCTTCTTTCTAGTAGAGCATGATTGCCATAAGTTTCCACTAGAATTCTATGCTCTTCAGCTGAAGTTTTCTTTTGGAAAAAATAGTGTAATAAAATTCCCCCATAAATAGTTTTCAAGGTAAGTAATTCGCTGTTTGAAGAGATATGAAAAATATTGTTTACATTTTAAGCGTTTAAAATAGACTGATAACCCGAGTGCAGAGGATAGTATTCTGCCCATATGTGCCTGCCAAGCATGACACTAATGTCTGGCTCATGATATAGATCAGACAGTTCATGATTGTTTTCCCTCCTCCATTGATTATTCTCAGACACACCACTAAATTTGGTGTTCAAATGTAAGGAGGAGTTAGTCTTCAGCCCTGGTTGTGGTCCATGTCTCCGAGCCATAACATAGTACAGGACGAATGAAAGTTCAATATATGATAAGTTTTGTTAGTCTGATTATCAAATTGCTAGAAAGATGCTTCCAGAGTCCATAATAGCAGTGGTTGGGAGCCAATATTCTCATAATTTCCACAGCAGCATCACCATGCTGGGTTAACATTGATCCCAGGTAGACAAACCCCAAAACCTGCTCAAACCTGTAGGGCCCAAAAGAAACATGGGCACTTTTCAATCTTGGAGTTTGATCTGAAATCAAATACTTCGTTTTGGCTTCATTGACAACAAGACCCATCCCTCTACCAGCATCATCCAAAATAAGGAATACCTCTACTACTGCTTACCTGGATTTCCCTACAGTATCTATGTCATCTGTGTTTGCATACATCTGTAGTGATCTGTATCTGTTCCATACCGTACCCCAAGATTGAATCTGAAAGTCCCTTATTGCTTTTTCTTGTGTCATATTAAAAAATAGGCATGCCAGGGCATTCCCTTGTATTACTCCTCTTCTAGAAGGAAATTTTCATAATCTTCAACTTTTTACCTGGACCACTTACACAACATTTTCCATTGTCAGCCTTAAGAGCTTATGTGGAAAAGTCATATAATGTTTTATAAAGCTCTGTTCAGTGAATGCTATGGTATGCTGACTTGAAGTTAATGAAGAGATGATGTGTGGTCATGTTGTATTCTCTTCCTCACTCCATTACAGTACGAAGGCTATCTGGTCTGCAGTAGATCTGCCCTCCCAGAATCCATATTGATAATGACCAGTCTCCCATTCAACAACTGGAAGAAGCCGGCAAAATAAGATGTTTTAAAGTACTTTAAATGCACAGTAAAGCAGAGATATTCCTCGATAGTTAGTGCATAAAAACATGTCTCCCTTTTTGTGTATGGGGCAGATAACCATTTTTTTTTTCCAGTCGCTAGGTAATATTTCAATGTTCCACTGATTCCTGTTTAATCAGTTCTTTTAGTTGAATACATGTCCAGAGGAATATTTGGTTGGATCATTCCAGCAACTATTCTGGCCAGTTTGTCAGGTTCATAATTTCTGTGGAGCCAGAAATGGCCTGGTATCGACTGGAAAGCGACTTCTGTCCTATTTTCTTTTAATCGGTCCAAATCCAGATGGCATTAAAGGACATTTTGATTCATATTATATCCATTTTGGAGAGACAAAATGGCTGCCTGAGAGTCAACAAAGAAAGCAACTTTCTCGTCTTTCCATTCAAGCAATCTCTCAAGGGCCAAGAGTATGGCTCTCACTTCCCCTTCAAAGTTTGTGCCTACCCTTCCGACCCGGGCGGTAAGTTGAAATTCCTTTAAATAAACTCCAGCTTCGGCATGTTTGCGCGTTTCCAACGCAGAACCATCAGTATATACATGGAGCCATTCTGCTTCTGGCAATCATTTTCTGATAGTTTCTAGGGTTATAGCCTTTAGTTGGTAAATTGGTGTTGAGCCCTTAGAAACTTTCTGAAGAAGATCAGAGTGCATTATCCTGTGTGATTTGGTGGAGAGGGCAAAAAGCTGGAATTAATGTCTTTTCGGAATTAACGATCATCTCTTTTTCATCGGCCCACTTCTTTAGTAATTCCAGTACCTATTGCATGTGGATCCTACTACAGCACCCAAGCTAGGCGGAGGGCGCTCGAGCCATGGCTGAGTGGCAGGGAGTACCTATAAAAATACACTATCAACTCGACTGACTTGGGGCACCCGGCACACCCCATTGTATTTAGCCTTCTGCAGGGAGAGGGGGTAGTACCTGTAGCGAACTTTTAATCACCCCCATATTCGTGGGAATCAAAATGAACGAAGCACAAAAACCAATTAAACGAACTGACAACATTGGCAAAGACACTGCTATGGACTTGGGACTACTTACGGAAATGGAATTGTTAGAGAAGGAAGTGGCTGGGAGATACTCTAAGGGACCATCGATGGACCCTAGTGAGGAAAATTCAAGAAGCTCCACTGAGACTATCTCAGCTGATGTTTCTGAGGCTATGGCGAGTGCTCATTTTCCTAGCTGTCAAATGCTAGAGGAATATGTAGTTAATCCCACTATGAATAGGCACATTTAATTTAACCACTCTGAATAGGCAAAGATAAGTGGGAAGAAGCCAAAAGAATCGTGAATTCTAGGAGGGTTGAATGGGCAATTAATTCCTTTGCACCCTTCAAATCAGCAGGCACTGATGGGATTTTCCCAGCCTTGTTACAAAAGGGCTTATCTATAATTAAACCCTATCTCTTAGAGTTATTTAGGGGGAGTTTGGCATTTGAAATTAAATGTTATTCTACAGATCCTGAAATAGATAAATATTCGGGTCTGGAGTTTTTACACGCAAGTAAATAAAAGGTCGAATAACATGGAAATCCATTCTATAATCATCACTAAATAATATACCTGTATATATAATATAACAAACCTTTCCAGTTCATCAACAGCATAGCCATCTATTACTTGGAGTTCTAAACACCAGTTTACCAGAAAGGGACGGTAGTCAAATCCACTACTTTTAGTTTAAGGAATTTAAAACAAAACAATAAATTTCTTTGTTGTCAATAGTGAAACAGAAAATTTAATATTAAAATAATAGTAAAAGTACACTAGTACTACATGCGGCTGAAAAAGGACACTACTATGTCTAAGAAAATCTTAAAATTATTTAAAAAGAAAAGAATATATTTAAAATAAAATTATTAAAAACAATCAAAATCTGGAATATGCAATATATTTTAACACAGATTAAGGAAGTATTAATAAAACTTGTGAAGAGTAACTAAAAATAATTAATAAATAATAAATTTCTCTATTTTTCAAACAAAAACAGTTTATAAATAATCCCCATAAAGAACAATAAAACAATCTTGTCTTATTTTAAACTTAATGGTGATAATGATAGTATATTTATTTTTAAAAAGTTTTAAGGTTTTAAAAAATAGCATATGAAGATACCGAGGATAAAATAATATTTAAAATTGAATTATGGTACAACAAAAATATAATTTTGAGGAAAGTGTGGCTGTCATAAATAACTTAAAATAGAGAAAAATACACTTTATTTTAAGCCAACGTTCCGCCCCTGTTATGCAGGTTTTCATCGGGGATATGGTCAGGATGGAGTTCAGTTCAAAACTGATGAAGTTTTTTTCCCTATACTTCATAGTTTCATTTGCTACCTGATTCAAGTTTCGTTTACTACCTACTTTCGCACTGAACTCCATCCTGACTATTTCCCTGCATAGTTGGATCGAAATGACTTAAAATAAAATTTTTTTTCACAGTTTTAAACTTTTTTATGACCACCACCCAAACCATTTCTTTCCTCAATATTATACCATGGTCAACCATTATGTACTCAACAATAATATAAGTTTTTAAATATGTTTTTGTAATTTATGTATTTTTTTTATAAATGCTATGTAACCAACAAAAAAAGATTAGGCCTGAATATGGCGAAAAAGTTAAAAACATTACAATTTTTAACATGTAAGTACTTCCTGAAGTAGTATCTTAAGTACAATAATTATTTGACTAAGGTGACAGCATAATTATTTAAAATGGCATTTTTGTTTTAATTATTTTAATACCTCTTTCTTAATAAAATGTATGTGTAAATATAGTGGTTCTTCAACTCCTTTATCGGATTTGATCAATGCTATATATTAAAATAAATTTATTCAGGGTGTGTTCCCTACTAAATGGGAAATGATAGTTTATACAAACATAGAACAAAATTCAAAGTTTTAACAATTGAATAAAAAAAAGAATAAAAACATATACAGATAAAGTAATCTCTAAAGATGAACTACATATTTTTCTGAAATTATTTTTCTTTTTTAAAATTAAATAATAGCCTATATTATTTAAAAGTCTCCATTATTACGAACTACAATTTATTGTAAAAAGTAATACATAAGATATAATGTAAATAATTAGGAAGTAACATCTTTGTGTTTCAACAACCTATTGGAAAAATTAGCTGAAAACCACTGATACTACATACTAAACACATAACACAAACAGCAACATCAGTATGTATATAACCAACAGAAAAGAATCGAAAATTACAAGACCAGCAGGAAAGGGAATCAATACATTCTAGAGTTAATAAATGCATACAAACAAATCAGTCTATGTGGTTAAATGGGCCCTAAGAAGTAGCAGGGAGTGAGCTGAAAATTTAGCCAGAAGTGAAGTAGCGGAGCTTTCTTGTCAAAATATCAGTCCTTTTCTCGATCCCCAATCCTTTCTTTAGAACCCATTTATTCCCTTTCTTCCACCAATGACATGGTCGAATACTTTTCTTGAAACTTCTTTAATTTTCTTAACCATCACGCACCTCTTAAAACCTATATTTTTAGTTGTCCTCCAAAACCCTGAAGTAACCCCGAAAGTAGAGAGTTGACAAGAAGGAAGATAGGCTGCCAGAAGATGCTTCAGTAGCACATTATTGCCTTAGCATTATTCTATCTTTAAATTTCTATGAAACCTAACACGAATTGCCAAAATGCAATGCTTTAATGATATTTTATTCTAAACAGTCTACCCTAAATACAAATACAAATCCTTCAGAACCTCTCTGTTGTCTTTAGCAACAAATAATCGGTAAAGATTGTTGTTGAGAAAACAATTTAATAACAAATTAATCACTAAATACACAAAAATGAAACAAGCAGCAATAGAATACTTAATTTTACTCTAACCACCCAAATTAAAAAAAAAAAATCTGCCAAGTAAGGACAGTATAGCTTCCTCACCATTTTCATATGAGAATAAAATCTCCAGAAACCGTTTTCGGTAATACAGTAATCTCTAAACATTCACGGGGTTGATATCCACGAATTTTGATGATCACCAAATAGTAAAATACAGAAGAGTTCCAGATTTGCAAATCGCCTATTTGATGAAACGTTAAAAAAAAAAAAATCCCAGTACATAGTGAAGATGTATGTCGCTACTGTTAGTGCAAAATGTCGTATTGAAAATTGAGTGTTTTACAGGAGAGTATAAAACCTAATAATTTCTTAATGATTTATTAGTGTAATTTCATATTTTATTTTCCTCTGCTATTTTCCATAGTACCAGGCCATCTACACTGACAGGCAAAAAAATTCAACCCAGTTGATTTTTTCATGTTTTCATCTAAAAATATTTCTGCTTTGGATTGGTCTACTGTTTTTAATGAATAAATAGGTTATCTTTTTGTTTGTTTTCAATTAGGAATGTTAATATAGAGGACAATAACCCTTAATCCTTAATTCAATGAAATGGTTCTAGATTCCAATGTTTACTTTCTATGGAATCAAAATGTTTATTCAGTATCATTAGTTCAGTGCCGTTTCTTGCAGCACATTTCTTAGTCTCCGGCTTTTAATTTTTTCAATATTAAGTTTAAAAATGACTCTTAGTGCAGAGGATGTTGCGCATGGTGTGGCACTTATTAATGATGGACGTTCCATTAGATATGCAGTTAATGCCATCGGAGTTTCATATGAAACTTTACGAGACGCCGTCAGGCGTTTTCGGGAAACTGGTTCCTACAATAGAAGGCTGGGCGGCCTAGCGTAACAGAACCACGGGATGACCGGTTTTTGACTGAGAATTTTACAAAACCGGCACCTTACCGTTGTTTAAGCGATTCATCAGCTCGAAGAAGTTCGAGGTGTGCAAATTTCTGAACGTAGCGCTCGGATAAGATTAAATGAGTATGGATTAATGGCTTTTTGTCCAGTAAGAGGACCAGAGTTGACCAGAACGCACAGAGTAACACGGCTGGCTTTTGCTCGAGAACACAGCCATTGGACTATGGACGAATGGAGTGCTGTACATTTTACAGATGAGTCAAGATTCGCTCTTCGATCTCCAGATGGGCGTGAAAGGGTGTGGAGAAGAAACAAAAGATATGCAGCCTGTAATTTTTCCCAGAGCCAACCTTTCCAACGTGGTTCCTTAATGGTGTGGGCTGGGATTTCAATGGAGCGCCGCACAGAATTGGTTGTTGTTTGTGGAGGGACTTTGACGGCCATTCGCAATGTAGATGAGATTTTGGAACCTCATGTGTTGCCTATCCTCAACGAAATCGGCGATCGTTCTATTCTAATGCACGCCCACATGTCGCCCGCATAGTGCAGACGTTCTTTCAACAGAACAATATTGAGGTTTTAGCCTGGCCAGCACGTTCTCCAGATTTGAACCCCATTGAGCATTTATGGGATAACCTCGGAAGACAAATAAGAGCGCGTGCAACACTTCCTGATACACTGCAAGACCTTGAAAGGGCTCTTCGGGAGGAATGGGCTATCCTCCTGCAAAGGGACATTTCCTGACTGGTGGAAAGTATGCCAAGGCGTCTTCAAGAAGTGGTTAAGGCAAGAGGAGGAAACATGCGCTACTTAACGATGATGTAATTAATTTCTTTTAGAATAATAATGGTTCGTTTTTCAATTTTGTTTTCTCTAATCTTTCTTACTCAATCACATTTTGATTATTAAAGGTAAAAAAGGGTTACTGTCCTCTATATTAACATTCCTAATTGAAAACAAACAAAAAGATTACCTATTTATTCATTAAAAACAAAGATCAATCCAAAGCAGAAATATTTTTAGATGAAAACATGAAAAAATCAAGTGGGTGGAATTTTTTGCCTGTCAGTGTACATATGCCAAAAGCAAGTGCGTTCAGGATCAGAATGGTCCAATGCCTTACAACTCAACATCAATTACGCACCTTTGTGTAGAGTCCCAGGAACCAGTGAACAGTCAAAGGAAGTTGGGTTCCTCTGTCATAAGTGCGGCAGAGAGTCTGAAACAACAGCCCATGTGCTGGGAAAATGCCCCAACAACTCCCTCCTCATAACTCGCCGGCACAATAGGATCAAGTTTGAATTGATAAGGCTCCATATGATTAATTTATTGCTTTCCTAAACGAGAAGTTCCGTGAGACCTTCGGGGAGAGAGTCCTCTGGTTTGGCTCTCGTGGAATGATCCCAAAGCGAACAATGAGCTTCCTTGAGGAACTGGGTGTCGATGTTGGGGAGCTTGCGATATTGGCCAAGAATATTATTCTGGAGTCCCTGGGGATCATCCATTATCACTTGTATAGTAATTAATTGTGGATTTAGGATGTCTTTTGTCATTCATCAATTTATTTATTTATTCAATTTTTATTTTTATCTTTGTCTTATTTTTTTATCTATATTCATGGAATTGCGTTTTATATGTGTGTGCGATTTAGTTTTGTATTTTTAACATTCGAATACTTTTTTTTTTCAGAAAATGTTTGTGTTATATAATGAATTGTTCAATGTGGTATATTAGTGATATTGTAAATGACCAGTGTTATGAAAAGAGAGAAAAAAAAAATAATATGTTTATAAAATAATGAAATTATATAATGTAAGAGCTATGTACATGTGGATTGATCAGTATGCTGTGTATAAAGCAACCCTATGTAGTAGGGCTGCATTACTTTCAATAAAGTATTTCTTTCTCAGTAGTACTATCCATAATCATTTATTGGTTAAATATACAGATCTACTTTCAAATCTCTCAAGGCATACATAGCTTAGAGAATGGAGTTATGTGGCTTACAAAAACAGATGAAGTTATGAGATTTTTATTACCTAACGTTGATATAATAAATAGGGTTTTTGTTATTTTAATGGTCTTAATGATTTGTTAGCTGTAAGGTTTAAGCTTTAGCTCCATTAAAAATGCACTTCAAAAACTTTGTAATACCCCATCATTGCCAGAAAATATCTAATCAAAGTAGAACATTAAGTGAAAGTTGTGTGATGAGCACACCATTCTTTTTTTTATGCAAACATGGCAATATGAAAAAATAATGCTGTGTGAGAGACAGGATCAGGCTCAATATGAAAGTAAGGAGTTTTTTCTTTTGTTATTTAGGGATTATTGCTAGGATAGAAGCATCTTTAACTGAAGGAATGATTCAAAGATAAAACAAATTTAGAAAGTTTTGAGACAGTGAGGTAACAAACAGGAAGAGATAGCGAACTTGTATTCAGAGATTCAGAATTAAAACAGATTTTTTATTGCTCCAATATAAGAGGAATTACACCTAAGAGTAGAACAGGGATGTCAGATCCAAAATTGAAGTGGTGTTGGAGATGGTACAAGATCTCATAGGTTGGTATTCATATTGAGGCTTATGTTGGGATATGAAGGCAATGTGTAACTTGAGGCTAGATGAGGTAAAGATTTTCTAAGGATTGTCAGGATATAAGGGCATAAGGAAGGGAAATGAAAGGTGGTGTTCAAAAATTAAATCAAGGATGGTTGTAGCATATTAATAAGTTTACAAATGGTATTAAGTTGTAAAAAAATAATGTCTTTATTTCTAATTTTAACACTTTTTTTAAAATATTCAAAGTACAATACTGTTATGCTCTATGGTAGTTGTTTACCATCTTGAGATTACTTTAAGATTGAATCACATCTTTATCCTGGATACAAGAGGCACTTACCTCTTGAGAACCAGCCGGCTGGAGATTTCAGTGTGCATCTTTGTTGTGCTGGTCTTGCATACTCATCCCTCTCACCCGACTCTAACGCTTGACTCGTCCAGTTTCTTTCAGAATTCAATTTGACATTTTGTTCCAAGTAGAGTTCCATGAGATACAACAACTTGCTAAAATTCAAAATCTCCAATTTATAATACACCTGAAACTTTACTCGATGGTTCAGTAATTGCTGAGACATAATAGCAGGACTATGCTCTGCAGCATTATTCCAGAATGGATGCTGCCATAAATGATAATTTCTTTGTCTTTGTATGGTGTGAAAGCCCTTTCATCAAGATGGAAGTTGCAGATCCAGGATGAATGCATCTTGCGACTTGAATCTTTGGTGTGAAAGGCTCCTTAGGGTATCTCCCAACATCAATTTTTCATCACAAGTAACTAATCTATTAATAAAACAGTGGTAATTTGGATTTGTGAAAAATTTCTAATCAACCTCCATCTTGCTCAGTGGTCAACTCATTAGAAACCACTTTAGATGAGTGATTCACTTTTCTTAAGTAATGCAGTCCACAATTTATGGAGAGGCCAGAAACTCCAAGATCTCTGCCATATTTATAATGAACCTTTGTTGGGTCTGTTCCAAACAATCAAGCAAAGCTTTCTCATTGAATGGTGATTTTCATCCAGAACTCTCCTCTTAAGGCTGAGGTCACCTGCTTCAAATTTCTGGAACAGTCTACTCACAATCCATCCAGAAAGACCACCTTTTTCTTAGAATTGGCAGACAGAATGGGTAGTTTTGGGTGGGGAAAACATTCGCTTCAATCAATGTTGTAATATTAACAATATTTAAAATTTAATAGTAATGCAGTTTAACCTAATTCTGAGACAAAATAGAAGACAAGCAAAGAGCATTTTGGTTACAAAGTAATTTGGACAATTTAATATCAATCTTTATTGGATTTGAAAAACCAATAAAGCCAATCAATTTCCATGAAAATGAAAACAAACATTTTTTAGGATTTATCCCATAATATAGGAAGATCTTTTCTATCTAGTATATGTATGTTAGATACTATAATACACCTGTATTATAATAAGAATCACACATATAAAGGACATTTCTTCTTTTCTTACTCTTCATAATTACACAATATTTTATGATTTGAATTTTATTAAGTTTTTATAATTTTTAATTATGTATTCTAATTAGTTTCATCATATGCAAGCTCCTTTTCTCTCCTTTATATTATTTTTAATCCTGTACAATATTACTTCTGTATTTACACTTCATCTATTTTCTTCAATACAATCCATGTATTGTTTTTACAACCCACCCTGAAGAGAGCTGAAATATTGGCACACATAAAATAGCAGAAAAATATTTCCTCCATTTAATTTTTAACTACATTTTCATCATTCCTAGGTTTCAGTGATATAAACATTACTCAGTAAAATGAACTATTTATAATCCAAAACATGTATTATAAATAAAAATATTTTGTTCTAAATTATAAAGCTAAATAAAAGCTATTAGTAACATATATTTAAAAAATAATAATTATAAATAAGATAAAATAAAATAAAATTTGAAGGATACACCATCTGTCCGGTCATTTCAACACATGGGTTAGATTTAAGAGATATTTCTCTTAAATTAATTATACCTGCTAGACGGGAAAATTCATTTAAATCAGCTATTTTATTATGAGCTAATGTAAGGGTATCAATAGACTTAGGCAAATACACTTCAGCATGCCTCAACTGAGTTATCATGTTCTTGTGAAGATACAGCTTCTAAAAAAAAAAAAAAAAAAAATGAATAAATAAAAACTGCATAACAGATGCATCTAATAAAGAAAATAGGAATTCTAATCATAGGTAATTAAAAATATTATATTTCACAAAAAATTGAATCCACAGTCAACCATCTCCATATCATTAAAAATATTATATGGTCTAGAATATTAATAATGCTTAAAATGAGAGCACTTAAAATTTCTTAATCTATTCCATACATAAGCTACAAATCATCAATTAAAATCCTTTCTTAAAATAACTGTTAACAGCAAATAATTTCAATATCTTGTGTAAGTAGTATCTTGTGAACAGCTGAATATATACTTGAACCTTCTCAAACATATGTAAAATTTTCCAGGACATAGCGATAATAGGGTACCTCATCACTCTCTAGTAGTCCGAATTTTCTACATATACTTTGGTGGTATAATTTTGCGACATTATTATGTCTCATGAGGTACACCATTCCTACCAGAGTATCGTAGCCATTGGTAACATGTTGGATAGATTCCTTTGTCTTCAAGCAAAGCTGACACTTATCTGTGTCCAAATTTTCTTTTAATATATATTTTCTATAGGCTCTGGTTGCGATAACCTGATGTTGAATAGCTATAAAAAACCCTTCTGTCTTGGCATATATTTGCCCTGTCTTTAACCACTCAATTGAGAGCTCATTGTCGATCTCTGGCTCATGTAATTGGTGGTAAAATCTGCCATGCAATTCCTTCTCCTTCCATATGGTTTTGTAATAGTCGACATTTATCACTTCCGGTCGAATTGGATCACCAAAATTCTGGACACTGTAATCTTCATCTAATTCTTTCATCCAGGTGAAGATTGGAGACGCATTTTTCATAAAATATTCCTTTACTGAGTTCTCTTGTTTTCAGCAAGAGTCCTCAATCGATATAAGGCTACATCCTACTTTTCTTAGCAAATAAAGTCTTGCCATGGATGCCTTAGGGTGATAAATCTTAGCATCTGTCATTATTGTACACACCAGGTGGTCCATTTCTTGAAGTTTGGTAGTTGACCATTTTATTGCACCAAAACTTATTATTACTTTTGATATCATTATACTTCCAAAATATAAAATACAGTGAAATGGAATTTTTTGGTTCAAACTATTTTCCAAATATTTAGAGGTAGGCTAAAAGCTAAAAAATTGCTTTATTTTTTTTAGTGTGATTAATTAAGATAGTGACAGAGCAGTATAAGTAGATAAAGGAGGTAAGGGAACAGTTCCAATTTACAATAACGTTATTGTTTTATAATTATCTCTGGATGACTCAATAAATATTTATGAATAGTAAGTGTTCTCATATACATGCATTAATTTGTTAGTGTTCATATGTAGTATATGTATGATAATAGCTAAAATTGAAAGGTAGAACCTTAAATTGTGAATTTTATAATACAAGTCAATTAGATTTGTCAATACATATTATACTATGTTTCACATTTACAGAATTTGTTTGATAATTGCTAAATTGGATATGTATTAGTGTTACAATGTGAATTATATAGTATAATTTATTCAAATTTGTCAATAAGTGTTAGATTGTGGAGTTTAGTTATAGATTTTTTTTTTTGTTTAGTTATAGATACTTTCGAAATTTATATATTTGAAAAACTTAAATAAGTCAAAATGCAATGTTGTAATCATGAAATGGAGGTCATTTTCAAAATCTATGGCTCAAGAAACATAAAAGTAGACCTTAATATTGGATAAATTTGAAAACCTTAAATAAGTCAAAACACAGCGGCGAAATCATAAAATGGAGGTCATTTTCAAAATCTACAGCTCCGGGAACATAAAAATACACCCTTACATCGAATAAATCAAAAAAACTGATATAAGTTGAAACACAGTGGCGTAATCTTAAAATGGAGGTCATTTTCAAAATTTACAGCTCCGGAAACATAAAAATACACCCTCATATGAAAAATATCCGAAAAACTCAAATAAGTCAAAACGCGGTGGCCTAATCTTAAAATGGAGGTGGTAAAGGTGGATAAATAAAGATATGTAATATAAAAATAAAATAAAAATGTAAAGGTAGGTAATTTCTTAGTATTAGGATAAATGTAAAGGTAGGTAATAATTAATGTTAAAAACTGAATACCATATTAAGTGAAGATACTTTACATTATTTATTCATACAAACAAGTAGAGATAAATTGGCATTGCTTATGGGATAAACTGATGAGGAAAAAAAATCGAACACCAGTAGTTCTGGATTACAAGGTATAATAAATATGTTATAAATTGTTTACTTTCAATTTTGAAAGATGACTTATGTTAGAAAGGCAACCAATTAGATTATCCGACAGATCCAGGTACTCCAAGGCCACATTACTATACAGATGGTCAATTTCCTGAAAATAAGTTATAATTAGATAACCTGAAGATAACTGTAAATAAACATCAAATTTGAGTTTAAAGGAATATCTAGATGTAACCATTACAAGCAAAGTAAAAGTAAACATCATCAAGTCACAAACATACATATAATCATAAACCACATAAACAAGCATAAACAAATGCATTTATTTTTATAGTAAAGCATGCTTGAAAATTCATTTTCAATAATAATTTTAAGTAAAGAAGATTAACCATCCTAGAATAAGACTCTCATTTTAGTTTCTTTTGTTAATATCAAATGAAACAATAATATTAAAATTGTATTCTATGTTATAAAAGTTAAAAATTGATGAGAATAAGAGAAGTGCAAGTTTTATTTTATTCAAATGTTAATGAGAAAAAAATATTCACAACAGCAATCAACTCCGAGGAGAAACCTAGTTAGCACGTTCACCGGAGAGCTAGTGATGAACGAGCAAATGTTGAAAAAATTTAATGACAACTTGGATAAACAGGTGAGCTCTTGCCTTCTTAAACCATAGCAAAAGATCAACGTTGTCAATTGATATGTGTTCCCGGGACTTAACTATCTTCTCCTGACAGCGCCCCGTACAAAGATACATCCTCCGTTATTGTAGGGAATGATGTAAATATCCACAGGAGTATCAAGGCTATTATAGGGCTTCCCGTTAGTACATAATCGGCAATGTTGTACGCACCAAGAAGGTATCGAGAATTGAGACTGATCTGCTGTCAATGGGAGGCTCCTTTGTAACATCAGTTCATTTCCCAGCAACTGCCCAATGTACTGGATGCACTGTTCTAGTCCACATTTGATTATAATGCTGAAATCGCCGAATGTACGCAGAGATTATGAGTTGATCAGGGCTACCGAAGTGTGAGAGCTCAACAACAGTCTCTGAGAGAGAATTCTTTTGAAGAATGGGCCCGCTAATATCCCAAAAGCTAATAAATATATATTCCAGAAACAAGTACTTTCGGGGTCAGAAGTCAAAATGGTCTAACACCTTAAAACTTAACATCCTCTATGCACCATTGCGTGGAGTCAGTGGACAGTCAATGGAAGTTGGGTCCCTCTGCTGTAAATGCGGCAGAGAGTCTGAAACACCAGCCCATGTATTGGGAAAATAACCCAACAATTCCCTCCTCATAACATGCTCGCACCATAGTGTCAAATTCGAGTTGATGAGGCTCATTAGGGAAAGGGAATTCACACACTTCGAAGAGGTCTATTGTATCGACAGCGATGGCTCAATGAGATACACGGATATAATTGCATTCTCCAGGACTGGAAAGACGGCACTGGTCTTGGATCCAACTGTTCACTTTGAGAGCAATAACCTCGATTAGGCGAGTGAAGTAGAAAAAGAAAAGAAGAAAATATATGATAAAAGTAACCCTTTCCTAAAAGAGTAATTTCACGAGACCTTCGAAGAGAGAATTCACTGTGAGAGGCCTCTGGTTTGGGTTTCGCGGAACAATTCCTAAAAGAACAAGGAGCATCTTCGAGGAACTAGGTGTTGATGTCAGAGAGCTTACAGTATTGGCCAAGAGCATTATTCTAGACTCCCTTGGGATCATTCATTACCACATATATAGCAATTAGGGGTTAATTATGGATATTTATTATCATTTATTTATTTGACACGAAACAGCCCTGAAGGACTACGCGACTATGAAACTAGTTTCTTTTTCAATTTCCTCTTTTCTGCCCATCTCTGCTTGAGGATATCGCTAATTTTTTTTTTCCTCTCCTCCGTCCACTTCCTTCTGGAAGGAAGTTCCATGCACCGCACTTTTCAGGAATTTCTTGTATTCTGTCCTATCCTCACATAATTCCCATGTTATCCCAAGCCTCTGTATTTCCTGTTTTACTTGTACCGTGTATCCATGGTTAATCTTGTGTCCCATAACCCTCCCTTGTATCCCATAAAAACTCGTCATATGAACGGTATCGGACTTCGGAGTCCACTCCTACTTGCTGGCCATTAATGAGGACACAATCAACAGATAGAGACTCTGAATAAGGACTTTAGTTCACCTTTGTAGTAAAAAAATAGTGGTATACCTGGAAACTGATATATGTCTCCAGGAAAGGTATTTATGAGATATCATGCTCAGCAGCTAACGTTTTAATTCAAGATGTCAACACTAGATGAAACTCGACGTTTTATATGATGGACCTATTTTTGTCATTGAGTTCCACCTTAAATGAGGTCATCCACAGGCACACAAGTGCACCAAATTCTATTAGAGCATTAGAGAAAACATATCTTCAAGAAGTTGTGACCCTTCTTACAGCACTGGAAGCTGCGACAAAGGATATTTCAGGCGATTATATGACAGTAAACATGGTAATTCCACTTGCTACAAAATTACCACACAAATTAAATGACATCTTCCCCTCTTCACCAATTGAGATGGCATTAAAAAAGTCTATTTTATCTGAAGTTAAAAAACGTTTTGAAATAACAGAAAGTGTTCCATTGTTGGCAGTTGCCATAATTCTTGAACCAAGACTTAAAACATTATACTTCAACAATGAACAAGAATTGGCAACGGGACTAAATGAAATTAAATTCCTTCTGAAATCTACCTCAAGTTCGCCAAGCCACATTAGTGGAGAATTTGATTCTGATTTAAGTGGCAGTGCAAACAGTAAGAAAATAATATTATTATGATAAGGGCATATTAAGGTATGCACTAACATTTTTTTTTTCTTTCAGGATCAATAAGCTAATTTTCAGATTCTGTAAAGTGGTCCGAAAAACTTGGAAGAAGAAAACTTCTCACATAAGCACAGATATGTCTGATGAGCTTGCCCTCTACTTGAGGTCACCAGCTGAAGGCGACATGAAAGAAACTTACTGGAATATTGTGAGAGAATTTCAGGGTCATATCCCTATTTGGCCAAAATTGGGATAAAATACTTATCATCAGTGGCTACATCGGTTCACTCAGAATCCCTTTTTTTTCAAGGCTAGAGCTATGCTCACAAAGGATCGCAACAGATTAAAAGGAAATATGTTTTCCCAACTTTTATTTTTACAAACAATGGACAAAGAAATTTTATTTGTATTCCTTTTTTAAAATGACAAAATGAAAATCTTTTTGATTGTTGAATTGAAAAATTTAAAATAATTTTTATAATAAAAAGATTTTTTTAACAGAATAATTTTTTTATTTATATTATTAATACTAACTCTATCTCATTAATATATATCATTTCCAAGTCAGTCAACCTTTTTTTATTTATTTAATTATTTTTAATTTTTCGATGTATAGGTCAGTTATCGTATGTGTAGTTTTTGAAAATAATCTCCAGTTTAAGATTATGCCACTGCGTTTCGATTTATTTAAGTTTTTCGATATAAAGATCCACTTATATGTTTCCGAGGTGGTAAATTTTGAAAATGACATCCATTTTAAGATTACGTCACTGCGTTTCTACTTATTCATTTTTTTCGGGTTTTTTCCATATATGGGTGTATTCTTATGTTTCCGGAGCCGTAGATTTTAAAAATTACCTCCATTTTAAGATTAAGCCGCTGCGTTCCAACTTATTTAAGGTTTTCGGATTTTTTCCATATAAGGGCGTATTCTTATGTTTCCAGAGCTGTAGATTTTGAAAATGACCTCCATTTTAAGATTAAGGCGCTGTGTTTTAACTAATTTAAGTATTTTGGTTTTTTTTTTTAATATATAAAGGTGTATTCGTATATTTCCGAAGCCATAGATATTGAAAATGACCTCCATTTTAAGATTATGTCACTGCGTTTTGGTTTTTTTTATTTTTTCCTTCGAATTTAAAATAAAATATGAAAGATTAATTTATTTCTCAGTCAAAATAAATAAAAAATCTATAGTCTCATTTTTAAATTTAATTTTAGTTTTCTTTTTTGATATTGTGGTATCCTCTTACAAAATTTACTACTCGCAATGTTCATCTTATGTTTCCGGAGCCGTAGATTTTAAAAATTACCTCTATTTTAAGATTAAGTCGCTGCGTTTCTACTTATTCATTTTTTTCAGATTTATTCGAAATATTAAGATCTATTCTTACGTTTCCGCAGCCGTAGATTTTGAAAATAACCTTCATTTTAAGATTACGTCACTGCGTTTCGACTTAAGCAAACCGGAACACAGTGGCTATATCTTAAAATATAGGCCATTTTCAAAATTTACGGCTTCGGAAACATCAAAGTAGACCCTTATATCAAATAAATCCGAAAAACTTAAATAAGTCGAAACGCAATAGTGTAATCTTAAAAAGGAGATTACTTTCAAAAACTAGGCACACGATAACATAACACTATACCCTTATATCGAATAGATCCGAATAGGTACAATAAATCAATATCTGAAAGTTTAATATAAAATCGTTTGAATTGGAAAAGGTTTAATTTGATTTTGAAAAAGTTGAATTTGACATGGAAAAAGGGTTAATTTGACTTGGAAAAAACTGAATATGACATGGAAATATTATTATAATAATAATAATAATAATAAAAGGCTTAGCTAACCTGAAGGTTCAATGCCGACACCACCAATCGCTTATTACACACCTCCCTCCACCGTTCACCGTCCAAACCTAGTCCCTTCAGATCGACTTTAATGCAATCTTCCCACCTTCGCTTCGGTCTACCCCTCGGACGCTTTCCATTCGGCACAGCAAATATTAACCTTTTAGGAATTCTCTCGTTACTAAGCCAAACAACTTTACAAGCCCATTTGATTCGCCGCGATGAAATTATTTCAATTATATTACTCGGATACAGTTCACGCAATTCGGCGTTGTATAACCGTCTGAACTCTCTGGTTAACTCATTCTTCTTCGGTCCCAATATTCTACGCAATACTTTATTTTCAAAAACCTTAAGACGCTGCTCATCCCTTAATGTAAGTGGCCAAGTTTCGCATCCATAAAGAACTGTAGGCAAGATAATTGTTTTAAAGATTCTAATTTTTAAGTTCCGGGACAAGAGGCGCGAAC